ACCTTCACAGCTGATTTAATAGACACCTGCAGATCTGCGCCTGTGTGTCACTAACTTGTCGCAGGGGCCACTGCATAATTCATGGAGGAACGGCCCGTGTTGCATGCGCTTTTGCATAGCACTGCATTGCACTTGGCGCTCTGCTCCGAGGGCACTGAGGGAATATCTCCCTGAGCGATGTCCAACATTACGTAAAGTGGAGCTGCGGAGCATCGGCAGCAGCACCGGTGATGGATCAGGTTTATAAATAGGCCTACTTTTTATCCAGCCGCCCACGCAGGTGGATGACACCTGCATACTCTGCTGCAGGGCCGAGCATTTATTGTGTAAACGCTGGGTTGGTGTGGTGAAACATTTCAGGATTGAAGAGGAAGAAGAAGGAGGGAAGGATGTGAAGAAAGGGAGGAAATACCTTTTTTGGCGTGCAGGGGGAGAGCAAAAAAAAAATAGTTCTCTTCACTTTCTTGTCCTCATTTCTCTCTCCAACCCCCTGAAATCTCACATTTCATTCTCTGCATTTTCCTGATTTTCATTCATCGCCCCTCCTCCTCCTCCTCCTTGTCCCCCCTGCATGGTTAGACTTTCACTCTCTCTCTATCTCCCTCACCCACTCTCTTTTTTTTCCACTGGCATCCTTTGATTTCTCAGACTCTTCGCCTTCTGTATCCACGTACATATATGCTCCCCTCTTTCGCTCATTCTCGCTCTTTTCCTCTCTCTGTAAGCCACTTGTTACCATGGCAACTACACAATGGGCCTTATAAAGCTAATAAGAAGAGAGAGCAGGATGAGCAGAGTAGCAGAGGAAGAAGGGGGAGGAGGAGGAGATTTTTTTTTTTTTTTTAATGGAAATATAAATGGCTGCCAATCTATTCCTGTGTTTGAGCTTTAGGCAGAGAGAGAGCGAGAGAGAGAAACAAATAGGTGTACATATACACAGTATTTAGAGTATATCTCAGGTTCTATCATAATGCTCTGCCTAACACGTGTTTCTAGAAGTTGCAGTGATCAGACAGTGAGTGCTGTATCATCTCTTAGTGTTTTAGTGAATGAAGAGGTCTTGTGTTTGACCAGCACCAATCGTAACAAATTAAAATACACTCAGACAGAATTAGAGATACAGATCTTTCCTGGTATGTCTGAAGTTGCAGCATTTTTTCCATCAAAAGTTGTGTTTTACTAAAAAGGGAATGTTTTTTCTGTTTTTTTGAATTGAGAAAGATCACAACAATGTTTGCAAGAAAGTCTTTACAATAAATGCAGGATCAACTCAAGAGTTTAAATGTAAGTTGGACACATTTAAGATAATGTATCTTTCAGTGTTTTTTGTGATTAAGTGGGTACAGCAGAGCGGTGATTAAACAGCACTGAATTTAAGTTCATTTCCTGGGCAAGTTGAGCTTCATTCATCTGCTGTTAATAATCTTTTTTTTACTATCTGTTGTTTGTCTGGCTTTATGGTAGACACTTTAAAGTGCTTGAACAAGTTGACGATGGAGAAGGGGGAAAAGTAGCGAGTGTATACAGTAACGGGACATTTCAGCATACACTGCAAGTGAAATGGATTATTTTAGTAAAGTAGCGGCTTTAGCTCGTTGAGTGCAGCCGGTCTACTCCCCACAAGTTCTTACATGTTACAAAGAGCCACTCACACAAGATGCTCTGAAGCCTACTTTCCCGCAGAGTACTTAACATGTAAAAGTACTGATAAGTAGTACTTGTAGTGCTGTATTACTATTTATAAAAAAAACATTTTGTAACCAGCCAGTGTAAAAACTGGAGACATGTGAGGACTCACCACGAGTGTCACTATGAACGTTTTCTTCTTAGGACCAAAATTCTTGAATTTAACATCCAAATAAAGAATAAACAATGGTGATGAAACTGTGTGATCAATGTCCTCAGAAGACATCAGACACACATCAGCGTCAGGCTCAGGGAAATAAGACCCTCTTGTTACATAAACATAGAGGCGATGCTTCAATGAGAATCACAGACGAGGATCATTCAGTCAGTGTCTGCTTGTGCGCGCACCTGTGGATTGATAATGAATGTGAGCCACTACACACATCAAAGTCTAGCTGGGCCACTGAACTGGATGAAACACACACACCCAGAGTAGACACACACACACACACACACACACACACACACACACACACACACACACACACACACACACACACACACACACACACACACACACACACACACACACACACACACACACACACACACACACACACACACACACACACACACACACACACACACACACACACACACACACACACACACGCCTCCCGCCTGGTTGACTTCCCCTGCTTTCTCCTGCCGATGCCTGATAGCAGCGGGTGTGAGAGACAGTTGGAGTGAGAACCAGGTGAGAGAAGGAAGTATTCACCATCACATCCGCATATCACCAACGCAGAAGGCCACCTCTTCGCCATGACAACGAGGAATCTCATTGCTATGGTCACAAATGAAACATGCAAGCGGGTAGGAAAAGACACTAAGGAAAGAAGTGAAGGTCAGGAGTCGACCAAGAGTGACACGAGGACCTTGAAACACTTTCATGGTATCCCAGTGACGTAAAAAACACTTGAATTTATGTTCTTCTTCATGAATACTATAATCACTCTGTTATTATAAGCTGCCCATAGCTGGTGTATACAACGCAGTACTACCTCCAAAGGAGAGAAACATTTCCATATGGAGAGTGTTAACAGACATTTTTTTTTAATCATGGAGCTATATACAGACAAAACTAACAAATGCATGTAAATTCTAAACATGTTTGCATTATTTAGTACTTATGCTCCTACAAAATAAGTGAGAAAATGCCACATGTGCAGATTTAGCTGCCTTCATAATGAGATTCTTCAGAGAAAACACCTCCACTCGTTAACAGAATATCCCTTTTGGTGGAGAAACTTTAGACTCAGCAGGGGGGCATCATTAGATGAAAGTCTCTTCATGAGTTTCATGTGGTCTGACAGTGAGAGAGTCGCCCCACAGGACCAAGAGAGCGCCTTCTGCTGATGTCTCGGAGTCTAGTTTTTATAAGATATCCGGCAGAGATTTCCCTTGAAAGCGCTTGTTTGCTTCCTAATTTCCAGTGAAGCAGGCTTGAGACTAATTTACAAAATAAGAGTCATTTTCACCTCAGAAAACCTCTGAAGTGTCCCTCTACAAAGGAATGCCTTTTTTTTATCACATTAAAAGTTTGTGAATCTTGATGTGTATTTACATGTTGGTGAATTAGGCCTATACTGTAACATTCTAATTCACACCCCTGAACAACAGCAAACAGTCTTCATGGTGATGACATATAAACATATTTAGCACAAGAAAATCCTAAATGTGACCAACTTCACAGCCCCATATACATTTATGGACGTTAACCTGAAAACATGAGTGAAGACCGGTGGTGCTAGCACCGCTAACATCCTGAAGGGTTTAGCCGTGTTAAATCAAATGATGGTTTTCTGAGTGTCATCTTACCTTTAGACAAGATGACTTGTCTGAATATAAGTGACATAGACATTGGTAGCCAGGAACATCCATAATATGCCAGGACTCCCTTGAAAAAGAGGTTTTTAATCTCAATGGGACTTTGCTGGATAAATAAAGGTTAAATAAAAAATATGAATTGTGTTTTCTGATATTTCCTCAACGCTAAACTTGATGTCCTCTAACCTGGCAGTAACAGCAGCAGCTGTGTCATTAATAAATCATGTTGTGTGGCCATAGATTTATCAAACCCACCTGACTTGATTTAAAGGTCAAAGCTATGTGCTCAATTTTCCTTGCTGCTTATTTCAACCTTTGGTTCCTAAACAGGCGACACTCATATCACTGGGAACATTTAATTCAAAAGAAAATGCGCTAAATTACCAAATGTATTTATGGAACTTATGTCATTATAGTTTATTTTTATTTGTTAATTTCTAATCTTCCTCTGAATCCCCTGAGAGAAATGTTTCATCTCTCCACTCCCTCCACAGCCCACCTGAGTCCAGAGTCCTTTCTTAGATTTGTGGTTGGCCTCCGAGGTGTTTGCCTCTTGGCTCAGTTTTCATGTTTGACAGGAGGAGAAATATGATTTCATTTTCCGGGGACTCTGGGCGGGAGGATTAAAGTTTCATTTGCTTTCCGGGCTGAAAAGAGTTTAAACAACACTCAGGACAACAAAGAGAGAATGAAAGAAAAGGGCTTCAACAGCTGGGATAAAAAAAAGAAGAGCAACGATATAACAGGCAGCTGAATGGTTAAAGAACGACTTCACAAGTCAAAGAGCATTTCAGAGACGTTCAATATATTGACCGTCAGAGTAAATGTGTATTTTATGAATAATTGATGCCCTAACTGAAGAGGGCTGACCAAACAACAACTCCCAAAGGCACCAGTCTTACACAGTAGATGTTGGATTTTAAATATTTCAAACAGATTTTGTGTTGAATAACCTCACTTCTTAATTTCACTCTCTGTCAATAACGACTCCGAGTGGAAAACAAACCATTAAAAACCATTCAAGAAAATACGACAAGTCGGAAAATCTCTAAATGTTTTCCAAGTTTTTTCACAAACTCCCTCGAAATGTGACTCAAGCTTATTTTCAAACCTTGTATTTGTTTCTTGAACGCTAATATTTGCTGCTTTTGGTAATTAGCTTATTTATATCTAACTAATCATAATCTGTTTTTAATTCATTAGACAAAGGCAAGTGAGCTGAATTTGTAAAAAGGGGGCAATAAGAAGTTCTGATTTGACTGTTTCCTGACATTTAAAGGCCTACAGTATCGAATTCAGGAGCTCTGACAGTATAAATGTTCTTACTGTGATAGTTCCCTTGAGGAGGTTTCCCCACAGTAAGGCTGAAGATCAGGGACTGAATGTATTCCAGGAGGGCGAGCGCCACTCACTCTCACTGCTGCCAGGCATGCCATCTGTGACGGTAATTGCTTTCGCCCCCCTCTAGTCTGTTCATTGAGTCTCACCTGTGAGCTGACAGTCGTCGTTGGAGCCTGCAGAGTCCTCCTGGTTGGGGCTGAGCGGGGGGCTGGCAGGGGGGCTGGTGCTGAAGCTGGCGTAGCCCAGAGACGAGCTGACCTCGCTGGGCTCGCAGCTGTGGTTGACCGGCCGCTGGACGTCCAGGGACGAGGACAGAGAGGTGCGCTGCTTGGGCTGAAGAAAAAAGAGAGACCAGTAAGAACTGAGGTTGTTTTCTTTGAATGGTCTTTGTCACAGGAGGATGTTACCTTAACCAAAGTCTTCCTATAAATCCATCTTTATTATGTGAACCCTCTTTTTGTTCTTTCCTTTCAGAAGTTGTGAAGTTTTGTATTTCTGATTCGCCTCTAAAATGAATACATTTATTAGTATTTCAGTTCTGCACCTTTTCAGTCACAGTGTACTTTCTTTTAGGTGACTCAGTTATGTTTGTCCACATATAGATTTTTGTTGTTTTTGCTCATTTCAGTGTTTGCTGCGATGCCTCCTTAACCAAAAGTCCTTTAAAGAAGGAAGGCGGAACAGAAATCTGATCACATTATGGAGACTTGCATGAAATTTGGAACAAACACTCCTCCACACAAGGTGAATTCTTCTTCTATCATCCGCAACTACAACAGCAACAGCTTCTTCATCAGTATCATCCCACAGAATGTGGATGGTGTCGCTCAAACGCTCAAAAGATAATGCTTGAATCAAACGGCAGTCAGATAACCATTAAGTCTGATCAGTTGTGGGCACACAGCACTCACACAGACGTATTCACATCCATAGAAACAGATTATTTATGTAATGTAGAAGCTGTATTTAAAGTAACACAAAAGAGAGACAGAAGTTAATGGAAATATGAACAGAGAGAGAGAGAGAGACACAATGAATGCTAAGAGCGAGTGAGACAGAGTGAGACAAAAAAGCGAGGTGGAGGACAACAGAAACTGTAGACTGGCATCTGGTAAACACATCTTACATAATGAGACATTTGCAGCTCTTAACAACCTGCTGCTTTGCTTCACAAACAGCTCAGGCAGTCAAAACCCTGCTGCTGGTGTTTGTGTGTGTGTGTGTGTGTGTCAGTGTGTGTGCATACATGTCGGAGGATGCAGGCAGAGTGAAAAAAATACAGTGAACCATAAAGGCAAAATAACATCCTGAAATATTAAGAGGCAGAGAACATGACAGAACGACCTTCAGAAGACCTTCAATGTCGTGTGTTTGTGACGTGAGAGACAAAAAGTGAACCTTGAGGGAGAAGGAGAGGGGGCACAGGATATTAAAGGAAATGAAAGCAGAGGAGGAAAGGGGGCTGTGTTTTTTTGTGCATACTGCACACAAGTGGGGCTTTGAAGAGTCTTCAGAAAGACTGAAAAGCACTGAGATGAAAAACAAGAGCAAAGGGGAAATAGGTTGAACAAGAGAAGGACGTGAGAATAAAGAAAATAGGACAGGATGACATGTTTTCACTTCATGGAGAAAACCAGGAAGGTGCCAGATTCGACGAGTGCGCATGGATGAACTGAAGGCAGAAACAAAGAGCAGGAGGAAGAAATGATGGCTGGAGGTGAGAATGTTAAGTAGCAGGTGAAGGACATGTGGTAAGAGGCAGTATGGGAAGGAATGAAGAAAAGAAACAAGGTGCACTACAGGTGAAAAGAAAAGAAAAGGAGAAGCAGACATGTTCATCATTAAAAAGAGAAAGGTGAGGATGGATTAAGGCTGGGAGGAGAAACAGAAGGAAGAAGCAAATTAAGGAAAGAGGAGGAAAAAGCAGGGAGAAGGAGGTGAGCAAAACAAGGTTGAAGGCATGATGCAAGCTACCAGTAATAAGTCTATTTTGGTGTTTGGACTGTAAACACACACATAGGAATTATATGTGAAAACACAATCCTGAGGAAGAAACAGAAACGGTTTTTTTCACAGTTTGCCAAATACGATTTCTTTCTTCCTGTCAGTAGAGGGGATTGACAGCATGTTCATGTCTGGGTGATGACGCTAACTTAGTTTAGCATGACAGAAAAAAGGGAAAAGGGTCTAAAATCTAACACCTGAGAGGTGCAGAGTCCCTCATAACACTTCCTACAAACCGGAATGCGGCACGGACACAGCAGTGAGATTTCTTTTTTTTTTCCCCTCAGTGGAGAGTTGGTCAGTTGGGAATAACACCAGATCCGCAGTATCCCCGCAGACACCACGGGATGTTTTAAGGACCAATGCATTAACAGAACAGGATCACAACATCCCAGAAATACAGTCGGGGGGGGAAAACGACAATGATGAATGAGCCGAGCTGGGAATCACCCAAAACTGAGCAAGGGCAGCGAGAATACGCAGGCTTCCTGTCCAAAAACTTGATTTATATTTTTGTCCTCTTTGGAATCAAAAGTATTCATGACTTTTGGAGAGAGAAAAACAAACGAATATTAAAACCACTTAGCCTGCATCAAAACAGAACCTGAAGTGATCACTTTGCCGCAGGACAAAAAAAGAGCAGAAATTAATGAGATGAAACAGCAATCAACTGAGAATGATTGAACTGCTTTAGTGTGGTGTTTTTAAATGGAAGGGTGAGTCTGTGTGTGTGTGTGTGTGTGTGTGTGTGTGTGTGTGTGTGTGTGCGTGTGTGTCTCCTCTTTCCAGGCATCTCCTTTAAAGCACTTCAACTTTGCGCATTCATATCTCTTCATTCTGCACTTATCTCTGTTTTGTGTCAGAGACTTTTTTCTTCTGCTTCTTTCCAACAACTTAATGTGTTTTCTTTCTGGACCTCTGCTTAATAGGAGCTAACACACACATCAACACACACTGACACATGCAAGAAAACACACACACACACAATACTGTAGTTTTTCGGCTGAGGCTAAGCATTAACAATGCAAACGGGCAGCGGGCTAATGAACATGTCGTGGCCGATTGGAAGGGATTAACGAGCATAGACAGACACACAATCAAACACACACACACATGAAGGCAGGCCCTCTATGCCTGACTAAACAACAGCAAAAGACATTTCTCCGCCAGGAACAGCATCCCCAGGGGGGGGAAAACATGCCATTTAACACTCCACTAGTGCGTGTGTGTGTTTGTGCTGGGGTGCTAATAAATGACACGCCTATTAGCTAAAAGATGTAATTCCTCACCTCGATTATCTGAGAGAGTGTGTGTCTGCTTGCACGCTTTGACACGGGCTAATTTCTGTGAGAAACGGAGGAATTTTCTCCTCTAAATGATGACTACCAGGATAATCAGTTATCACAAAATGATCATGATTAAAGGGATCAGGGGTGTCTGTTTTTGAGCCATGCAGAATGTGCTGTACAAACCATGGCAGCAGTGCTAATAATAAATCATTAAAAGTATTAAAGAGGCTTGCCTTGAATCTAACTTGTATATAAATGTGACACAAGCAGGTTACTGAAAGTTAATTATGATACTTTTAGTTCATGTTTGCTGTTTTTCGTCTCTTCTGTTAACTGCAGCCCAAGACTAACTGATTTTACATGTTAATGGTGTTTTTATTGCTGCCTATGGGTCTACATAGTTGAGTTGGGGAGGCCAATAGAGGCTATGTGGTAGATATGGTGGCTGGGAAGTTCAAATCAAAATTACAAAGTGTGAAACAATTCTGCAAAGCCTGAGCCAAACTGACATTTTAGAAAACAAATGTACAAGATACAAAATCACTGGTTTTGTAAAAGCACTGATAGAAATTTACAAGTTGGCAGAAACTTGGCGAAAGGGAATGTACCAGGAAAGGCATCAAACAGACTTTTTAATTTGGGTTTGAACTTCCCAGCCACCGTAGGTAGGATAGGAACCATTGATGTTGTTAAAAACAGATCCTTGGGTCTGTAGAAGGTGGCGATGATGTTTGGGTAACGGCTATGTGGTAGGTTATGTCACATATCAGTAGAAAATAGGGGCATAATAGAGATGACTGGTATCTTAACTGAGCTCTTCAATAGGGCTCAAGTATCTTGAGTTATTTTCTTTTTTTTCTTTCCCCCAGTGTTTTATTTCACTGTTCACAGAAAGATATAAGTCTAATCAGAGCAGAGAGCAGGGGAATAGAAAAAAAAGTGGTAAACATCCTTTTACCAAATAGCAATCCTAAAACTATTTCATACCATTCTTCTCTTCTTGATAGATTTTTCATTCCCTCTCGTTTCTTCACAGCTTTTTCTTCTTCTAAACTTATTCAACTTTCTTTTGGAAAGACGCTTCTTTTTCTTTTTTAAAGTTTCACACAGGTAAACCACTTTGGGGCTCTGATACTCTTTGAGGCCATCTCAGTGACATTAACATATAAATAGTGTTTCTCTCTTAAGGCTCAAAGATGGGTTATATAGTAGAGTGAGAAGTCTGGCCTTTTATGGCACACATGGACAGAGTCTATTTTGCCTTTTGTCAACAGTTAGAAATACTTCAGTAAGTATTATGTTATAGTCATGAAAAAAAACATCTAATTGTACAGCTGACAAAGTTAGAGCAACATGGCCTTTGCATGTGCTAGCTTAGAGAAACACTCATGCTGGTCTTAGACAATACAATAAAGGGTTTTGGAACATACTGTTGGATCTCCATTAACACTTGTGGCTTATATTTGTTTTTACTGACTTCATAAACGTCATTTAAATTAGCATGAATCAAGCACTTTTTATGATGTCAAAGGTGAATCATTCAATTTAGCAGTTAAAGGGAACAAACACAGTCCTTCGGCTCGGCTTCTTCCTTTCAAACTCATTTTAAAACCATTTGAGGTTTTCCAGATTATGAGGCCTCGCTTTGTCTTCCCTCCCATTATCTGCTTTCACTCCACTATGTTTTCAGTGACACCTATAATCAAGCCAGAGAAAAAAGAACTTCCCTTTGTCCATAATATAAAACTGTGGGAGTGGGGAAGCTTTATTTTCACTCAGTTGGACCTGAAGTCATGAACCTGCTGTCTGTAATCTGTCTCAAAGTAATGAAGCTGTTTTTCTTTGTGCCACGTTTACAGCAGCACACACTATCTCAAATGTAGCGCAGAGACCACAGTTCTCTTGGCTCACAACTAATGAGGTGGATGAACTGTGAGATTTATTAAAATCATCAAAATGCTTCGTACAAATCCTTTTAATACAGGAAGAATTAGCTCCGATGTGTAGCTGCCACAGGGGACTTTTAGCATTAGCTTAAGT